GAAATAGGCGATTCAACCCCACTCTTATGTCCCACCTCTCAAACCTTTCTTATATATCCCTCTCCACCCACTTTTACATCCCCCCCCTACTCTACCCACTCTCGCATCCCCCCCCTACTCCACCCACTCTTGCATCCCCCCCCCCCCTACTCCACCCACTCTTGCATCCCCCCCTACTCCACCCACTCTTCCATTCCCCCCCCCTACTCCACCCACTCTTACATCCCCTCCCCCTACTCCACCCACTCTTGCATCCCCCCCTACTCCACCCACTCTTACATCCCCCCCCCTACTCCACCCTCTCTTACATCCCCCCCCCTACTCCACCCACTCTTACATCCCCCATTCAACCCACTCATACAGCCCCCCCCCCCTCTTGCATATCCTACTCTGAACCCATTCTTATATATCTCATCTCAACCCAATCTTGTGACGTACATTCAAAATATAACATATAAGGAATATTCTAAGCAAAGCCCAGCCATGTAATATACCATAAAAATTGATTAGATTGAATAATAATAACCCCCAAATGGATACTTACAGGGCTGAAGAACCTTTTTTTTTTTTTTTTTAGATATATACAAGAGTTGTTACATTCTTGTACATCATTTCTAAAATTCTAAATTTTAGAAATGAAATAAATTCTAAAATAAATAATTTCTAAAATTACATTTTTGTACATCATTTCTAGAAAGCTTGGTAGAAAAGGATCAAGAAAGGAGAAGTCAATCTAAAACAAGAATGTCAAACTGGTTAGAAACATTAACAAAGAAATAAGGACAGCAGAAAGTAACTATGAAACCCACAGAAATCACACTAACGTGAAATATATCAATTAGAAAATCCACTAGAGCTGCGAGGGGGCACAACCCTACCACCCCGGCATTGCCAGTCGAGTACTCTACCACTGGACCACCGAAGACTTGTAAAAAAAAAAAAGTCATACAACTGGATTTTTACTGAAATCACCACTTTGTCCTTCCATCAAAGTACTTGTGGGGTCATAGGTAAAAACTTGGACTGGCTTCAGTAGATTTCCTGTGATTTCTACAGGAATCACAGGAAGTCATTATGCTGTGGTGTAAGTCATTGTCGCAATATACACACACACACATTATGCTACATTAGATTCTTTAATACACTACTAAATAATTTCAATGCAGATTTTGCACGAGATACCCCTACTGTGAGTATTTTGTAATTAAATGCATGCACTCTATAATGAATATTCCACTATTTTTACTACTATTGTGTTAATGCCATTATTCTGTTCATAACTTAATCATTAAGAGGAAATAAAAGCTACATGAACTAAAAGTAAATAATTTTATTATGATACTTCTATCTTCTTTCCAAGATTTAAGCTGGCACCTTGCAAGATATCAGCTGAAAGAAACAAACAACCAAGATTAATACAAAGCACCCAAGTTGAGCATTCTATACTTGATACTCACACTGTAGACCAGACATCATCATCCATGGAAGTTCTACCATGCACATAAAATGCCATTCTTTCACCCATTAATTTTGTTCTCAATTGCAGAAACAAGTGCTGGTCAGCCATATATCCTCCACATTATCTTGAGGGACAGCGGAAAGTGAAAAAGTAGGGAATGTAGAACTGGTAACATACACCCGCTACTTCAATTCCAAATCCCTACACACCTGAAAGAATCAACTCAAGGGCAACCCCTTGAGTACAAGCCTCAAACAACAAAAAATAGACAAGTGAACCCGAGGCAGCCACCTGTTAAGCATTGTCACTACAAAAATTAAGTGAAGAAAATTAATAAGGGGAGGTTCTAGCTAAAAATAGACAGCATACAAACCCAAATGTTGCGGGACACAGGAGACAGTACAAATAACCAACACAGTAAAATCGATGGACATCCATTAAACTTGCAAAACACAGACTTGCTTGGAGTGCCAATCAACAGTGATCCGCACCAAAGACTTGCGAGGGCTTGCTAGGCCCTAAAAATAATGACCAAGCAGGACACCCAAGGCACTAAGAATGCTCATTGGATGCAATGACACTGAACACAGCACAAAGAAAAACACAGCTGTCAAAGGCATCAGCAGCAAGCTGCATATAAAAGCAGGTGAACTCAAGTGCACCCCATAATTAATAACCCGAGAACACCCCAAGTGCACCCCATAATTAATAACCCAAGAACACCCCAAGTGCACCCCATAATTAATAACCCAAGAACACCCCAAGTGCACCCCCATAATTAATAACCCGAGAACACCCCAAGTGCACCCCCATAATTAATAACCCGAGAACACCCCAAGTACACCCCCATAATTAATAACCCGAGAACACCCCAAGTGCACCCCATAATTAATAACCCGAGAACACCCCAAGTGCACCCCCATAATTAATAACCCGAGAACACCCCAAGTGCACCCCATAATTAATAACCCCAACCGAGAGCCTCGCAGAGTAGTCGACGGCTGGCACAAACACCCAAACCCACCACGGAAGCAACCATATCTTGGCAGAGGCATCATCTAATGAACACCTGGGGAAGGGCTGCCTAGGGCACATGCAGCTTTAGGTGAACAGAGAAGAAATTGTTCATGCCCTGTGTGAGACCAAGATTGTAATATGCAGCAGTTGTATGGTGCCTATATCTCGAGAAGTATATCAATCAAATGGAAAAGGTGCACATACAACAAAATGGCTTCCAGAACTATATATATATATAAAAAAAAAAAAAAGCTACGAGGAAAGGTTAGAAGTGCTAAATATACCAAAGCTAGAAGATGGAAGAAAGGGAAGTGATATGGTAACTGTGTGCAAAATAGCAGCAGGAATTGACAAAATCTGACATTGATGATTTGATAACATTGTCATCCGTTATCATCAGAGATTGGCGAGTACAGTGTCTAAGTCTTTATACCACTTACCTGGTCAGTGTAACTGACTCTGTGGGTTCATATAAGGTCATAGTATAACAGTGTGCACAAGGCATGGACTGATAAGGCATTCACATTACAACTAAAGGAAATCCTCCCGTTGAATTCAAGGAGTAACATAATCGGTTAAAATAGGTTTTTTGTCGTTTTATCTCCACACACCCGAGTGAAACAATGCTACAGTCATATCATGTTTACACCATTAAGCATTGAGCATTATATGTTCTACAGAGTTCCATCACTATTGTTACTGGACAATTATCAGTCTCATTGTTCACATCTAAAAATGCAGACAATATAGATGTAGTCAGTTGACATCCTTTATGGTGTAGGGGGTGATAAGGTTCTACAATGTCACATGCAAGGTCAACATGTACTTTTAATAAACAACTACTCAACGTAAGGATGCAGCAAAGTCATCACCCACTACTACAATCAGGCTTCCATCACATTTCATTACGCACCTTACTTGGTGCTTACCCATGTCAATCTGCAATTTAATGACCTCACATATGCCTAAAACTAAAATATAATAAATTAGATCATATGTAACCATTTAAATTTGACAATAAAGTAAGCAAGTAATTATCAAAAAGAAGGCACCAAACCGGGAAGGTTATGTAGCACCATCAAATGCGCGGGATAATCAGAGGGCGCTAAATATCACCAAGGATGCCAATACGAGAACAGAAACGCATAAGGCGAACGATATCAAAAGTATCCGAGTCATTTGACAATAAAGAACTACTTATTCACACACACACACACACACACACACACACAAAAAAAAAAAAAATACAGTACTTATGATTTTCATACAAACCCAATCACTTACTAGGCAAGTACTTGGGCCGGACGGTAGAGTGACGGTCTCGCTTCATGCAGGTTGGCATTCACTCCCCGACCGTCCAAGTGGTTGGGCACCATTCCTTCCCCCTGTCCCATCCCAAATCCTTATGTAGGGATCAGGGAGTCCCCTGACCCCCTTCCCAGTGCTATATAGTCGTAACGAATTGGTGCTTTCCCCTGATGGTTCCCTTCCCCTTCATACAAACCATGCACCGAGTTATAGGAATATCAATGCTATAAAACTTATTCCAAGAAGATTCTAAAAGACGTTTTTTTTTTCAGATTTCAAAATATTTTTGGACTATATTTAACAAGCTCTTTCAAATTTGATTGTATTCACTGGTGTGCAGGTGTTGTACGTTTTTTGATGCCTATGTCCAAAGACTGGCAACCTTACCTAGGTGTGTAGAGTTTGGGCTGGGAACTCATCTTTCAATATATTCTTCTCACTGAAAATAACACTCGTATATCTGCTTCCTCGCCCATACAGGTGGGACATGGGGGTAATACTAGTGAATTAATTAAATATAACTTTCAGCAGTGTAGTCATTATCATTTACTCCCAGTACACCATTTAAAACTATTACTATATATTATTATCAGGGATCATTCCCTCTCTATCATTCAAATCAACAAAAACAATGATTCTATAACTACTTGATATCATACAAATCTCAGCCTGTAAATTACCCAATTTTTTTTTATTTTCATTCTCACTTCTATCATCCTGAGGAGCATATTCAATCATGCAAGCTACCCTAACCCTGTCTAGCATGACCTTCATACAAAATCACCTTAAACTGTACCACGAGATATCATTCACTTCTTCATACCAGTCTTCATTTATTAAAATGTATACTTCCTCTCTAAAAACTTAATCTTCTGTTGTTCATTTATTTCCCTCACATTCGACACAAGTTCTCTTTGTTTACAAGGGCCTGACCAGATGCATGATCTTAACCCAAAGTCAAATATGCTCTCCATGGTCAGAACTTTAAGGAAGATGGGTACCAAATCCTCAACCCCCCCCCCTTTATTGCAGGGGAAAATGAGGGCTATTTGCACAACATACTGGTTGGTTATGAGGTCACTACTTCCGTACACCATAACATGCAACACATCATAAAGCCTAAATGTGTTAGACTAAGCACGTATCATAATAAATGTTTCAAGTAGCTAGTCATTCAACTTGTGTTTCCACAGAGTATAAAAAAATCCAACAGTACCTGCGTGCAGTAAGGGCACTCCCCGAAAATGACATTCATACTTTGCCGGCTATTCGTAAGGCCACATAACCACTGCAAAAATGTAAAAAAAAAAAGTTAGTTTAAACACACTGTATAACATTTAGACATATATGCAACTCCGCAACTGTATTAACAATTGATAAATTATCATTCATTATTTATATGAAGAGAACACATTTCCTCAAAATTTATTATTTATTCAGTACCGATACATCAATTAATTTCGAGAATACAGTGGTATCTTGGTTTTCAAATTTAATCTATTCCCAGAGATGACTCGTAACCCCAAAATTCGCAACCCGAAATGAATTTTCCCACAAGAAATATTGCAAATTTAATTAATCCTTTCCACAACCCCAAAAATATTAACTTCAAATTACATTTCGTACATAATACACACAAATATTTTGTACTATAGTATTGTATGTACAAGTTATAACTTACCTTTATTGATGACTCTTGTAGGCATATGAAAGATGGTGAGGAGGGAGGGAGGAGGAGAGGTGTTAGTGTTTGGAAGGGAAGTCCCGTTCCATTATAACATCAGGCAGTGATGACTTCTTTGGGGTACTCGCTCTCTCCCACGTTTTGCCTGCACACCACTAGGACCTGGTTGTGGGTCACTGTTTTTCTCACTAAGAACCTTTCCATGGAGACTTGTTTTCCCTATGTTTTAACACTTGTCTGTAGTGAGGCATCACAGTGTCATTAAAAAGGTTAAGGCAACGGCCTACTGCAGCTTGATTTGGGCGAGTCGTTCCAACAAAACTTTGTATTTCTTCCTGTAGTGCACACCACTTCTTAATTGTTGACGAATCCATGGCGTTCGTCATAAAATTAAATATAATTAATTTTATGTTTAGAAAGCAAAAAAAGCTGAACAATGAAATTCTTTACAAAGAGTTCAAGCGCGATTATCACTAAACGGGAGCCACTGGTAAACCTGTAGGGCGGTCGCTTGTGCTACCAGGAACCACAAGCTCGGTTGACCCATATGTGTATTAACAAGCTCGCAAATCGCGGCAAAGCTCGTAAACCAATTCAAATTTTACCAAGAAATTGAACTCTTAACTCAAAAAATTCATAAAGCGGGGCATTCGTAAGTCAAGGTTCCACTGTATAATGTTACAAGTTCAAACAAAAAATAAGTATACAATTAAAATAAGAGCCATAACTAGCAAAACCCACCTCATATAAACACTGGACATGGAAGGCCTGAGAGCAGTGGTCACATGTCAGATCTGGTAGAGACTCTTGGAAGTGAAGGGCATAACACACAGCACATTCTGCACTCCACTCCTCCACACTTCCTCCCATGTCTCCTGCCCTTGATCTTACTACACTCACACCCAGCAGTGACTCCAAGTTGCTCACAATACTGCGTTCAGGGTCCCACTCCTACAATAAGAGATTAATGGGTACAAAACAAATGATGACAGTACCTGTACATCCTTAAAATAAATTAACAATTTGGAGGACGTTGATTCAGACAATTTCTCTTAAAGGTCAGACGTAACACAAACAAGGAGCAAAAATTTCAAGCTCATCAAGCCACAAAGCAGGACTGAGAACAGGAGATCCTTTTTCACCCACAGAGGAATAAACCCATGGAATTGCCAACCCACAGAAGCCATAAATCCCAAAACTCTGCCGAACTCTAAAATCCAGCTTGAAAAAAATCCTCAGAACAAATAGGGGACCTTTTACAAGCCGCTGGCTTCCTGTCCTTGTTGTGGCCACTATAGAGTCATTGGCCCTCAGGTAAAATCATGTAACTATATTTGTATATAATTATATTTTCAAAGTTATACATAATGAACACCACCACTGACACATCAATACACCTTGTTAAAATTAAAAAGTAAAAAATAGAGGAACAATAAAAATAAATCCACAATGTTATTCCTGTGTGGCACATCGCCTAATTTATACTAAAACACACAACTTCTCCAATCCATTGCAGTCAAACCATAAAAAATTGAAACTTTTTACTTGGAATTTTGTGCTTCCTGGATGCTAATTAATAATATCAAGTGAAAACAAGAAAATTTCAAATAATTTGTTTTATGTGCACCACAGGAGTGTCCCTATTTAACAAAAGAAGGGGTTCATGTATTATCAATACATAATTACAATATATTACATGTATTACAATATATTCATGTACAGTATCCACTCAATTTAACGGCCTCTTTTATACCGATCTGCCGGTATTAACGACCGGTTTGGGAGCCCAGTATCTGGAGCCTGCTATACCGGTCTGCGGTCGATATTACCAACAGTCGGTATTGGGTTTGTTGTGGCATCAGCGTCCCCCCACATGGCGACCAGGCCGCCACCGACCTGGATCGTCCAGAGTCATATATTACATCTTAATTTTCTTTTAAAATGATTCACTTTAATGAAGAAAATTGTAAATTATTATTAATAAAATATTTTGAAACAGTTTTTATTAAGCAAAAGTCTTTGTTTTCTTATTAAATACCTTTTATAGTATGTATAGGCACTAGGTATTTTTTTTCCCACGGACCTAGTATGTACTCCGCCGGGCCATGTGTTCCCATTGTTTACCGTGAACTCGCGCAGCTAGCTTCAATTGTGAAGGATATTACTGTACTGTAATTGTGATCTTTTTAATTTACAAAATGCCAAAAGTTACCCAAAGGAAGCGCCTGACGGTTGCACAGAAGCTGGAGTTAATTAAGAAACTTGATAAAGGATATTCTCATGCACGAGCAGCAGCAGAGTTTTAACATTCAACATAATTGTCAATAGTAAAGTAGAATTAGAACTCATGTGAATTAGTAGTAAGGCTAGCTGTTGTGTGAAGCGAGTGCCTGAAAATAAGTGTACTGTACATACAGTATGTACCCTGTATACAATATAAACAATATAAAACAAGCGCTGCAGAGGATGACGTAATCATCACAGCTTCGTAATCTTCAGCTTCATTAAAAGTAAGTCAATTTACCAATTTTATTATAGTATTACAAGATATTGTTTTTTTTCAACAAAAGCTACATATTAGTCTCTGCAAATGTATATTCTATCGTCAGCAGAGAAAAGGTGAGCTCAAAATATTTCGTCTTGGCTAGCTCTCAGTGACAAGGCTCGATCGCCATTGTTATGGCATGGCCGCCACAGCCTGTGTCGTAACATTAAAAATACATTACCTCCACTGTTCAGGGTAAATCAAAACACATCTCTAAAATTTTATTAAGACAATATTAACTCACTGATTGATACATGAAATATTTTTCAATACAAAGGAATGAATCAATTTTTTCCCACCCATCTGGACTTGAGCAGAGCGTGTTCACACATCATCCATGCAGCAGCCAGCAACTGGCTTAATCGTCGGCCGTGCACTAAATTGGAATGCAATTACACAATGAACTTTATTTAATTTTAGTTATACAGTATAAAATATATCCTACCTGAATGTTACTTGAAAAATTACCTGACCCGACTTAACGTCGGAAATAATGGAGCTCCGTAAATAACGACTTGGGCTCAGCCCCATATAGGCTGTTAAATTGAGTGGATACTGTATTATCAATACATGAATCAGTGTGGTGTAAGCAAATTTCTATTCTCAGAGTGCAGCCCAGAGATAAAAGATTGGGAACCACCGACTTACTTCTCTGTCAAAAGTGACGAGAGACGCAATAAGGCAATATGTGGCCAAGGGTGGTACCGAGGAAGGCCGAGAGGGTGGACCACTTACCTCGTACTTCTCCATCAGAAGAGCATTGAGAGGAGCAGTGAGGCGAGATGTGCCCAGGAGGTGGCACTGAGGAAGGCTGCGAGGGTGGACAACAGACACACTCAACTGGACACTCACATGATTACCTGTGTGATAACACACAAACAATCAGCAAATTCTGGAAAGTAAAGTTCAGTTCATTGTAATTCTTAAAGATTTAAGATTAAAGTATAATGAAAATTTGCATACTAGTATACTAACACATTCTAGTTAACTATGCTAATAAATTTGTACACAAGTATCTAATATTGTAATTACATTCCTATAAATCTATTTTTCCCAATATAAAATCACAATTTGTGAAGAATGATTAAAGAAATATTAGAACAAGCACAATCTCCATTTAATGGCTATTATTCTCACTGAAACTTAAATATCAGATAATAAAATTTGACCATGGAGCAAAATGAAACTCCTCTCTCTGAGCCAATCTCTCAGTCATTTTCTTGACCCAGTGGCCTATTGGAAGCTCGCATAAAATTTTAATTCTTTTAAATTGCGTGTGTGAATTTAGAGTCCATTCCAGGCCAGCCGTGATCTTGTGTATGAACTACTAGCTACAATGTCCCACAGTAATAGGCAGAATAATGAAACAAAAACATCAACTGATATGCCTGCACACAGGTCCTTACTAAGAAGTATCCTGCGTGTAGTGTGTCTTCGTGCAGGAGTCGGTGGGTCCAACACCAGTACAGTTTCATCCAGTTCATCAAGGACATCCCAGAACTGCTGCAAGCCTCTCAAGTGGTCCTCCCAAGCTGCTATGATGCAGGATAATCCCTCAACCTGGGACAAAATTGGAGAACTTTGGTGTAAATTCATCAGATGCAACATTAATACAAAACGGCAAGAATCACGATAGTACACAAATAAATCGCACTACAGTAACATGAAATGAGCAGAATTTGTGAAGTTTTCCAAGCAGTATTCTATTTTCATAGTTGGTCTTTAAACTGCCGAGCATTTGCATTTGGCGATTTATATACACGAGCAATCACCACGTTCAGAAACAAACCCTGCATCACAATTTTCTTAATGATAAAATAATTATTTTCAATACAGTACATCCAAATGTTTATTATTAATAGATAAAGCAACAACTCTAATACATCAGAATACCTGTTTACAATACCAACCACACTATTTACACAAGAAAAAAGGCCAATGCATCATATTTTATTAATTACTGTGATGAGGATAACCTGCACTTGTCACTTCATGTGTTAATTTTTATTCGATGATTAAATGGTATAATATATAGTTCTCATTTCCTAGCTAACAAATGAGGTATATACACATTTCTCATTTCTTAACTAGTAATTGAAAGTCTTACACATTTCTTCATTTCTTAAAAATGAGAGTACTAGTCAGTAATTTAATGAAGTACTGTATATGGAAAACAAGATTGTCTACCGAATCAACAATAATACAAACATTCGGATGCAGAATAGTACTGCAATTACCAAGTGTACAACAAACTGTAAAATTCAAATTTTTCTTAATGGACCATCAACTTACAGTATTCCAGGAGAACTTAAGGTCTACTGGCAAATCAGCTTCAACCTCTGGTGTCTCTTGAGGATATCCCTTACCAATTTTCACTCGGAGGAGGTGCGAGCGACCATTCTCATCTCTGAAAGTTACAATTTCCGCATCATGTTTAATAAAACTAGCCGATTAGGAAATTTGGTAATCGAATAGCAAGACCGTGTGAATTCACCTCAAACTGAAACTTATATAATTAACTAACAGTAAAGTGTTATAGAGACTTAATATCAAATTGTTTGTCTCTAGCATTTTTCATTATCTGAATCATTACCCCATTTCCTACTTTCATCACAAAGAATCTCTCTTTGCCAGATAATAGGAGAACAATATAGAAAAATAATGTTAAGACATGTTCAGAATGACACCCATAAATTCTCAATAAATTCCACACTTGACAGCATCACAAAAAGTAACACCACAACTCAAGACATCCACAGCAGCACTCCACCTTCTCAAAAGACTAGATGTCAACTGCTCCTCATAAGTTGTCATAAATAGATATTTCAAACGTTCTTTTTTCCTCAATAAACATCCACTATGCTTTATTTGCTACCACTTCTCCATTCCTACCCTCAAATGCATTCTCCTCACCATTCAATCATCATTCATTTGTTCACACACAACCAGCCTCACTGTACGACAGTAATGAGCACTGACAAACCGAGCCGGTCGGGCGAGCGGACAGCACACTGGATTTGTGATCCTGTGGTCCCGAGTTCGATCCCGGGTGCCGGCGAGAAACAATGGGCAGAGTTTCTTTCACCCTATGTCCCTGTTACCTAGCAGCAAAATAGGTACCTGGGTGTTAGTCAGCTGTCACGGGCTGCTCCCTGGAGGTGGAGGCCTGGTCGAGGACCAGGCCGCGTTGGACACTAAAAGCCCCGAAATTATCTCAAGATAACCTCAAGAAACCACCGACCAATGCACTTTACCTTTAGTTACTTTAACTCAAACGAATAGGCAAACAAATACATGTAATGAAATGGTTAAAGACACCATACCTGGTCTTGAG